AGCTCATAATCTAATTGCTAAACAGAAGCGTGCAAACCTTTATTTGGGTGAGAGGAGATTACTACCAGGCTGAGCTTATTGTCTGGTCTGTGCTGACGTTGTTGCCAATTTCAAAGAATCTGAAAGTTTTTCCAGTCCTTCCACTAAGTTGCTCGAACATGAATTTGTGGGAGGAGCTTATGCCTTTGGAAACTGAAAACGAAGTTTCTAATGAATGTAAATATTGTGATTTGTGAAAATACAGTTAATGCAGTATTGTAAAGCCATAAAGGTTTAAAAACATGTCCTTAAATCGGAGCTCATCAAATACTTCTTTTGCTCGCTAATCCCGCTCTCACACCCTCCCTAACTTTCCCGGATGAACGCTTGTCAGTACAACCGCTGTTCCAACACACCGTACTTAGTAAGACCAATTAAAAGGCAAAAAAAAAGACGTTCTAATTTCAAACAACAGGCCGTATTCGCATTCTCGGCATTGGACTGGAACTAGCATGCAATGGAGGCTCATGTGGGGGAATAACACCAAAAAGAGATTAGTATCCCCGCATTAGCCTCAGTTGCAAGCTAGTTCCAGTCCTACACTGAGAATACAAATGATGGTCTATAGGCCAATTCCGATATATTAACATTCTAATTTGGCTCCGAGGCTTAGGGGAATAAAACAAAAGAAATTAATTGTTCATCCCTTATCCTCGATGCGATTTCTTTTGTTTATTCCCCCAAGCCTCGAAGCCAAGTTAGAATTTTAATATATCAGAATTGGCCTATTGGCCAAGCACCTGGTGGACAGTCAAGGCTCCTTTCAATGTAACGCTCTCATGACCTTTGTGTTTAACTCGCCTTCCATTGTTTATGATTGATTATATTTTTACGACTTGATCTCCTTATAAGGTGATGGGAGACAAAAAAGGAGGCGTCACGTCAGAGATACTTATCGACCCAAGCAATATGAGTAAACTTGAGGCGATCAGTCAAATTGTTCAAGTACCAATGAAATTCATTCATGTTCATAGGAACCCCTTTGACAACATAGCAACCATGATGCTTAAAAAAACATCGTCACGTAACGCTGCGAGAGACGCAGGAGTAATAGTGAGTTCTCTATTAGTAGAATGATTATTCCCTCCGCCTAGTTTTTTAAAGATTTGTTTTTCCGTAATTATTATTAATACTATTAGCTTAAAAGGTGTACTGTGATTGGCCAATAAAGACTAGGAAATAGTTACATGGCGCAAAATCTGCCACGCTGGTTAGCAAGCTACCCACAAAGAAAAGCCCAGCCTGACACATTCGTCCAGGACTTCCCTTCATTTCCTCTCAATTTCCCACAGTTGTTAGCTCGTCACGCAGCTCTTTGTGTCACGCAATGCGTCTTTGAGACAGGTTGCGTGACGATCAAACCACTGGTTCGATTTTCAATTTGGCTGCTCTCTTCCCCGATATGTATTTCTGCTTTACGTTAACCCTAAATATTTTTTGAGGAAATTTCTCCCTTCAGTCCTTACCATCTCATGAAAAGGTAGGATATCAGGCTAATGTCATGATAATTATTGAAGGAGGAAGGAGGAACTCCCCTTGTGGTCAGGGTGATTGTATTTAGTGGTTTACCACCCAGGATGGCAAAATCTACAACGACCACTGTGTAATAAGTTAGTTTGGCACCATTTAAGATAATATGTAAAGTCTTTATTCTGGCCTAGTGGGCTAGCATGAAAGTAGGAGTATTTCTACTCGAGTATTTC